TAGATGTTTAGAATAATGTTAATAACTGCTTTATATGCTACTTGCTTACATGTTACCCGAGTAATGTTGCTTTCCTTTGTTAGTAAGTAGAAGTGTGCTTGGCATGTTATGGTAGCTCTCGTTTGTATGTATAAATGTAAAGTTATGATTTTGATAACTTGTGGTGGTTTGATAATAGTTATCACAAAAAAGTCGTTTAGGAGAAGTTGAGAGTTGAATCTAGAACGTTTTATACCCTAGTTTAATTGTGGTGACATGTTGCTTGTCCTTTCATGCTTGTAAGTATCTTTGTGTATGCCTGTTTGACTTAAGCATGCATTGCATTTATGCATATCATTTAGGAACGATGATGGATTGTGTAATCAACTGGAGTAACTGAAAAGATGATGCCAGGAATCATGCCATGAAGATGGAATGCTAACTTTTGGTTATATTTTACTCAGGCAAGACCCGATGCATAACCCCTACTTTTCTGCACTTTATATTATGTTTGTGCTTTAAGTTTTAAGGAGTTGAATGAAACCCATATATATATTTATTTATTTATCCTATGAGTCTTACTAGTATGATAGGATCATGTAGATTGCTATGCTACAGGACTCTGGTAGAAATCGAGTGATTGCCTGTCATTCGCGAGAGATAGAAAATATATTATTATTGTTACTATATTATTATCACCTGCAATATATATATATATATATATATGAATGATAATTGGAGACCGGGCGGAATGGTACTTTAGATCTGGACTTGGTTTGGTATTTGAGCGAGGCTCGGATTGCATTTGTTACGCCTGTGTCGGTTAAGGACCGGCCGTTGCATTGGGTTCTAGGCAAGTCACAGACTTATTATCCTGAACACATACTTGTGTATGGGCACAGGGAAGGCTTGTTGCTCTCTTATCGTGGGTTTCGGCTCTTTCCAGACCGACTGATTGGAGACGGGGATGGTGGAGGTCTAAGCACCGCACTAAGTCCGGGACTTAGGTGCGGGGGCTTGGAGTCCAAGTTTAGACGGGGACCTAGACCCCTTGATAGGAGAGTGGGGGTTGGTCCTACTTGTGCCTGGGGTACAAGTGGGACGTGTGTTTCGGGGTACCCAGCTGGGCATATTGATTCGCGAATCAACGGACAATCCAGTACGACTTGTCTACAGTCTAGCATCGTAGTAAGAACTGGAATGTGAAGGATGTAAAACTGGTTCTGATTGCTTACCACCTGCTTGAAAGTAGTACATGTGCTTACATAGAATAGTTATTTAATGAACTAATGATGACTACTAATAAAATTGAATATAAGGACGTACGTTTAGTAATGCTCCTGCAGATTCAATAAACCCACAAGCTAGATAGCCTTGTATATTTTTGGAGTCTTTTCTTTTTCTCCTGACGGGTAAATCTTGCTGAGTACAACTGAGTACTCAGGGTTTTATTTTCCCCTGTTGCAGGTGACAGGCGGATTCTAAAGCTGACTCTTGGGTGTGGATTCCTCCAGATGGGCTCAGAGAGAATTCCTTTACGCTGCGATCATAGTTTTTATTTATAACTCTCACTAAATGTTTTTATAAATAGAAGTTTTATAATATTATGTCATAGTTGATATAACAATGCTCCATCATGTCCTGAATAGATACTTATTTTCGCTGTAATTCTGATCACATGTTTATATTCCGCTGTTAAATTAAATTGTTCATAACTTTGATAACATGATCATATATTATACTGTGATGTTGCATAAAAAGTGATGTAAGAAATGGTTAAATGTTGTAAGTTTTATTCTCTTATTTGTGATCTTGATGGAAAAATGTGGATTTTCGGGTTCTCCCTTGAGGTGTGCTCGACGGAACTGTAGAATTTAGTGTCCCCCTTGAGTACTTAGTGTCTAATGGAAGACAAGTACTTCGGAGAGGCATTAGATTAGGCGGTTCTGCCACAATGAATGAGTGTTGTCTTTGGTTTCTTAATTAATATCATATCGTGTGGGTTAGCTAGTGATGCCAGGTCCCTCACCACACTGTGGCCTTTGAAGTGATGCCAAAATCCTAATCGTGGGGCCTAATTTTTGTAAGGCATCACTCCACATTGTGGAGGGCCTTAACTGTTTGGCTGGGGAGGAGTAATTATCATGGAGAATCTGTTCCAGAATGCCGTGTCAAATGACCCCTTATATACTCATCACAAGTACATTGTAGGGTTCATCATGACAAGGGCTTCTACTCATAGAGCTCTTTTATTTTATTAGGGATTACAATACGGAATAAAATGAAGATAATGTATTGGGATGGATGTTAGAACATAAAGAAGCTATTGTATCTCATTTTAGTTGGGCTAGCCTCTTCCTAGGATGTCGTACCTCGTGCTTTGTAAGGATGATTATCTCGGTAATCTGTAGGTAGAATTGTTGTTACTAAAGGTTCAAGTACAAGAAAGAAATATGTCTCCCGGTTCTTACAACACATTTTATATGGATGTAGAACTCCTCCAAATTCAGCTGTAGGAAGAACGTTTTTCATTCTGATATGGAGTAAACAGTCCATATATGTAATAATATATATCTAATCTACCTGAATTACAAATGTGTTGGGTATGTTTTTTCTGTTTAGATCATAATAAACATATTTAAAAGGACAACCTCCAAATATGCACGCCTAGTGGTGGAGCTTGATCGAAGTATCAGAAGGGGCTAGTCTCTATAATCGAGTACTAATCATGAATGAATAGTAGAAATACTATTTAGCAGAGGGGAAATTGCATTGGCCAGGGGGTGCCGTATTTCAATTTGGCCTTAACCAAGGTCCGCCCCTTGCACGTGAGTCCAATTTTTAACCTCCAACTCTAAATACGGATAACGAACACCCTTGGAGTTGCAAAACTGAACAAATTTGATCCTTTGGCTGGTTTCGTATAGGTGACTTCTACGTTTTTAAAATAATCAAAATGTCGTATGGTCATTAAAAAATCCTAATTAATTTATTTAAAATAAAAAAAACATGAAACTAGTATCAATTTTTCCTAAAAAATGTTATCTATTGTTTCATTGCTGGTAATCATGATCATTATTTATTTTAAACAAATAAGATTCAAGCAACTCTAAATAGAGCACCATAGATAACAAATTTAGAAGAAAATTGGAACTAACTTTTACATGTCATGTTGGGTTCTAAGTCAAACATTCCTTACTTTAACTATTAATTTCAAAAAAATGTATAGGCTAACAACATAAACATTGTGTTTTTCGATTCACTATGAGAAATATTTTCATAATATATAGTTCACATGATGTGAATTACATGATTTTATTAATTGATGGTCAAAGTTAAGAATATTTGACTTAGGACAAACAAAAAAAGGGGAATATACAATATTTCTAGGGCACTAGTAGATCTGATGCGTAAACACACTATGAGAATGTGAACAGGTAAGAGTTCCCGGCCACAAAATTTATATGCACAAAAAGGTATCCACTCCATGACGTGCCGGCACCTGTACTTGAGTAAGCGCCATTGTGAATTCCTGCGTTCATATCTTCCTATTTGTTTCTTGTATTTTTCTTAAACTCTGTTTTAGCACTACTCCTATTTTTTTTCGATTCATATATGTTTTTTTTTATTCCCCTGCTTTTCTATCCTACTCTTATTCTAAACATGCCGTAAAAGTAACCTTTCGCAATTAACGAGTTTGACACACGGCAAACTGACTTGTGCCTCAAACGAAAGAAAACACGATACAAAAGCTTCGCATGTGGAGTGCTAACAACGACTAGTCCACACTGTGAGCGAACGTTGACCTAGCAAGGCGGCCACTGGCCAGCAGATGAACCGAGAGCCATGCCGAATCTCTGTATCTGCAAGAAGCAAAGGTAAAACCTAAGACCGGTCTAAGAGCGACATCATTGTGATTGATTAGACATTTGGACCAGGTTGGGTGGACCTGTATATGAAACCTGGTCCAAATGACCATCAAAGGGAAGGACGACGGGAGCAGAGGGTCAGCCGGTCAGTCGGTCAGGGGCACAGCACAGCCGCACTGGGCTCGCGCCTCCAGCTGCTTTTTAACCCACCCCTGCACTCCACTCCATGTCCAAGCCCCAAAGGGCCAACAAGGCCCCGATGAGACAGAGCATTAGAGCAATGCATCTTTCTGCTGGCACGGTGTCGTTGTAAAAGACAAGCGCATAGTACCAAAGGAACTCTGCTCTGCCCTTACCCGGTTGGTTACCCCACGACGCAACGCATGCACGATCCAGGTCAGTTACTACTGACTAATCAGCGTCCGTAGCTCGATGGCCTCGTGATTCCCAACCGAGAACTGTAAACACGCGCCGAAACAGCAGCTTGCATTGGGAGGTTCCTTTCGTTCGTGGCTGTGATCGTGTGGACTGGAAATACAGAAGAGTTGTAGTGGCAACGATGTGGCATACACAAACGCACAAATCTGGCGCAGGAGATGGGGCAACACCACCAGGAAATCGACACGGACGGATGTGCATGTCCACAGGCGGGCGGGCGGGCGCGTCCACCGCGCCGTTTCGTTCTCCGATCCTCTCTGCCTTCTGCAGGGACGGATCGGCGCGCCAGCCTGGGCGGTGGCCGGTGCCCGTCTCGCAGCGGCAGGTCCATTGGCAATGGCATCGTCATGGCGCGTTGGTTCCGGTGTGCGCTTTGGTCAGGGTGCTCTAAAGATTTCCAAACGGGCCGGTTGAAACGGGCTGGCACGAGCCCGGTGCGAAAAAGCCCGGCCCTAGCCCGCCCCAGCCATGCCCGTGCCTGGGCCGAGGAGTCGGCCCGTAGTGCCGGCCCGGGCACGGCCCGTTCCAACGGGCGGCACGGCTCTGGGGCGCCGGCGGGGCTGCGGTATATAAGCCACCCGCCGCGGCCGCCCCCCACCATCCAAACCCTAGCTCATTTCGCCTGCTCTCGTCTCCCTCGCGCCGCTCTCGTCTCGCTCGTCGCTCTCGCCCGTTCGCCTGATCGTCGCCTCGTTCCCCTGCTCCGCCGTGTCCATGGCGTTCTCCGGCGGGTAAGGGGTCAGATCCGGTGGGTTCCGTCCTCAATCTCCCTGCTTTCCCTCTCTGCCCTCAATCTCCCTCTTCTCTCTCAGATCTAGTGGTTCCCGCCTTCAATCTCCATCTGGTTCCTTGTTCTTCATCCCTGAAAGTCGATTGAGACTCGTTCTTAGCATCCTCGACGCATCTCCGTCTTCTGTCCGTCGTTCTCATCGTCGGCCGCCGCCACCTCCGGGGCTCCAGTCTCCGTTGAGGTACCGGGGGTGTGCATTCGGTCCATCTCATCGTCGTTTCCGGCGCTCCGGCTCTAGAGGTAAGGGTAATCCCCTACCCTAACCCTAATCCCCTACCCTAACCGTCTTTTTTTGTTGTTGATTGATGCAGCCGTCGAGGAATCAGAGACGACAAAGATGGCCCCAGGCGTAGGCGACGCCGATGAAGGGGAGTTTGATCACTCCCAGAACGACGAGCTGCGGATGTGCGGGTTAGCTGGGGATGAGGAGGAGGATGATGTCCCCGAGGACTGCGCCAAGCTATTTGGGCGGTCTGCTGCTGATCCCCTTCCCTGTGACCAAGATGCGGTCCCGGTCCACGGGGAAGGGCCCGATCCCGATGCCGACGGTGGCGACAGTGAGGTGGCAGGCTCCAATCGGCCTTCTACCTCTGCTGTCTGGGATGATTTTGAGAAGCACTTCAAGAAGCTATTTGGGCGGTCTGCTCCAATCTTTGCTGTTCTTTGCTCTTTGCTGTTTTTTGCTGGCATTGTCTGATGTTTTTGATGAGTTGGAAGTTATCTGTGTGAACTTATGATTTGAATGAATGCTTTTGTAATTTCAGTGCCAGGACCGGCACGGGGCACGCTGGACTGCCGTGCCGGCACGGCACGCCAGGCACGGTCCAGCAAGTTTAGTGCCGTGCCTGGGCCTAAACTCCGACACGGTGGCACAGCACGGCACGGCACGCCTCATCAACCGGGCCTATCGTGCCGTGTCCAAGCGGGCTAGGGCCGTATAGTGTCTGTGCGGGCACGTTTGGAAATCTTTAGGGTGCTCCATGGATCGACGGACCGATCGATGCGTCGGCTCATTCTCTTTCCTGCACACACCCACACACGCGCACACACACAGAGAGCTCTCGTGTCCACAGTCAGCACAGCACGTACGGGACCCACCCCGATGTCGTAGTGTCGTGTACCCCGGTCACAGTACCCTGGCTGCACTGCACCCCTCTCTCTCGATGCATGGCAGCAGCGTCGCGTTCCTGTCACCTACACCGACGCACGCACAGTATCGTTCATTCGTTCGGTCTAGTACAACACCACGCTCCTTTGCTTGCAATTGCCAGACCTGAACGGTTGAACCTGAGGTCTACAACAACAACAGAGTAGCAGGCAGCAAGCACAGCTCGACTGCTCACTCTCCGCATGCAGGGGGAACCGACCGGACGATGGTGTGGTGTCCGTGCTGTGCCCAACAGGGCAACTCCTCCGTCGCCCATCCCCATGCCGCTTGGCTGGGGCACTTGCCTGGTCGCTCGCTCGGGGCCTCGGCCCTCGGGCATGCAAATGCAAGGCGAGACGGCGCGGGCCTCGATGCGGCGTCGCCCCGCCTCGTGATGCCCTTTTGCCGCCAGCTCCGCTGCCAAAAAGGCCGCGCGCGCGCCGGGGCCCCGCCCGCCTCCCTTCCCGCGTGCCGGCTGCCGCAGCCCACCACCCGGTGTAAAAATTCGAGCGGAAACACAGCCTTGCCTAGCTAGTGGTGGCCTGCCTGGCTGGCCGTAAAAAAGACACGCCCGCGTGCTCGTCGTCCCCCACCAGCACAACCCCACCGGCCAGGGGCAGGGGCAGGCAGGCAGCCACCAAAGTGCGGGCAGCGCCATGATTACCTCGTAATTTCTAGTGGTTTTGCCGGCACGCGCACGGGGCCGAGTCTGCCTCTGGCTTACTGTATGATGATGATGATGATGGCCTCGTAATTGGTCCACGAGGGATGGGCTGGATGCTCACGGCTCACGAGCGAGCTTGTCAGGAGGTGCCATGATGCAGGATGGATTGGGCGCCGTACGCGTGTGGCTCGGCACGCGGCGGCGGGAACAATAGGAACGAAATCTCTGTAACGATTAACGAACCATGCTCTGCCGCAGCTGCACGCAGTAATGGACTAGCGGCCGGGGCTAGCTAGTTTACCTTGTGGGGATGCATGACAGCATGAGCCGGGGCGAAGGCTCACCATGCAGGCAGGCCAGGCCACCACCACCCTCTCCGAGATATACGGATCTTGGAGGACCAGCGCGCGCGGCAACGAGAACTGTGGCGTACTGTACTGCCGCCGAGTGCCACGTTCCTCTTCCTGCAACGTGGGACGCCATTGATATGGTTGATGCCAACAGAAACAGAAGAGGCCAACATGCATGGGGTGGTACCTGGTCTGGTATGTGCCTTGTTAGCCATGGTTGAAAGTACCGTTGGCTGATTTATTACGAGAGAAAAATATTGTTCGTTGACTGAAAAAATACGGCTTATAAGTCATGTGAACAGGACGCATGTAGTGGTACCGTGGCATCTGGGGGCGGTCGGCCGGTACGGTGCAGGGGCGGGCTCTCCGCAACATCTCCGGCTCTCCTGCACTGCACTACCCCTTGCCATTAATGCTGCCGGCCGGCCGGGACCCGGGAGTATACTTGCTGATACTACACTAGGGATTAGCGCTGTACGTACTGAAGAAGCAGTAAGTATTTTTTATATAGTATGTTTTGTTTGATAAAAAAACCCGCAACTGTTGTACTACCGCTCCTACGGCGACGAGGAGCATGTTCGTTTCCAATCTATTGGACTATTAGCCACGAGGAGCAGCTCCTTTCACAACAGAGCTCTGCCCTGGTAAATTAAATGTTTACCGGCAAGGTGGACGCGGCATCCATCGCCAGTCGCGTCACATACCGGTACGGTACCGGCCGGTCCATCCGTCCATGTGGCCAAAAAGACGCATGCATGGATGCACAAGCACGCTACCCGGCGCCCCGCTCTGTATTGCCTGCCTGTGTTCGGCGGTGCTTCCGCCAGCGTCCGCGGTCCGCCCATGCCGCGGAGACGAACCGAGGGTCTGGTCACGTCCGCTCTGCTGCGTGCTGGGCAGCCTGGGCTCGGAGGATCCTCGGATGCCCCCTCGGCCGGCGCGGCGCTCCAATCCTGGCCCTGCTTCATTCTCCGAGCCGAGCCTGAGTGCCTGACGACGAGGCCAGCACCGAGCAGCCCATGGACGCCGACGGGGGTGCAAGCAAGTGGCCGTGGCGGTAGCTGCATGCGGGGCTCGCGATCGACGCGACAGCGCGCCGCGCGGCCTGGGTGTGGGTGATGGCCTCATCATGTTCATGGGCACAGCGCACAGGGCGATCGGGCGGCAGAAGGGCCGAGGGCGGGAGATTCTTCTGTAGCGCCGCTTGGCCGCTAGCCTCGCCGGACCAGCAGGGATCCACGACCACGACCAGAGGCAGCCAGCCCCCAGCAGCGTCCAGAGATGACAGGGCCGATCAGGGCCGCCTGCAGTGCAGCGTGTTTACTCTGATCACTGTGCGCTACGTTAGCTCTTTCTGCTTGCGAAATTGAAAGCTAGCCCCGCCCCCGTCACCCTTGCAAAAGGTAAACAAAGTACTGTACGCGAGTAAATTCGCTGGGATACACGCATGTGCTCCTCCTTCTGCTTTGTTCATTCTCCGAAGCAGCAGCCAGCCAGCCAGCCATCAAGGCGTGGAAGTGGAAGCCCGGCCGGCCGGCCGGCCGGCGGTTAACTAGCTGCTGCTCGCCGTCGCCGAGGTTAAAGACGTGGCTCGCTTCATCAGAGTTCAGACCTGCATTCAGAGAGGTAGTAGCAGTAATAGGAGCCAGGAGGAATGTAGAGGCATTTATTACGTGCAGTTGGGCTCACGAGTCACGACCTCCTCCCATCCACATCAATACGTAGGCATGCACGGCCACAGAGCCACAAGTGGCAGGCCTGTGGCCTCGCCTCGGCCGCCGGCCCAGCTCCAGGGAGGGAGGAATGGCGCACACATGCGACGCGACGCGAGCGTCGGATCCCGTGCCGCGCACTGCTCCGCTTCGCGCGCCCGTGGGCCGTGGCCGGCTGCGGCGGCCGGCGGGTCGGCGGATTAAATGCGCCCACGCTGCGTCCACCGCTGCCGCCGCGCCGGACCGGAACGTGCAAGTGCAACGTGCACGCGGCCCCGCCTGCCGGTCGCGGCCTGCCTAGCTAGCTTATACGGAGTAGCTACTACTCCTCGTCTCGTGTCGTCATCTCATCGATCGGATCGCTCGCGTGCTACGGCCGGCATCGTCGGCAAGGACGGAGTAAATGCGCGCGCGCGCGAGCGAGTGGGCAGACATGGATGGCACGGCACTGTTCACGTGGTCACTTCCACGGAGCAAATGCCAGGCCGTGGGTATAGCTATAGCATAGCATCCGAGCCGGTTTTCGAAGAACGGGTACGGGACAAAAGGATCATCAGGCTGGGCTAAAACGTGGATTATTACTGCTGACTGATTTGGTGTGAAAGAAAAATACCATTTTGGTAGGAAATTTACGATCGTTTACGACAAAACGAACATGCCCATACTACTCGTATCCCTCCAGCCGCTTGCTTACATTAGTTCGCTTTCATGTCTACTACCACTGGACTGATGATCCTGATTGGGTTCAACAATGTGCATGCAACCGCTGCAGCTTGCAAAGCTAGGCCCTGTTTGGTTCATAGGAAAAACATAGGAAGATCAAAGGAATCAAGTTTCTATAGGATTTTCACTGTAGCAGTGTTTGGAACAAAGTAAGAGACCCAAACCGTTCCAGAGGAAACACAATGAAACCTGCTGTTTTGGAGGAAAGAAAAAAGTGAGGTCTGACCTCATGGGAATCTTTCCTGCCGCTCATGCACACTCACACGCACTAATCTGCATGCTCCCTCCCTGCATGCATGCACAGTGTGTGCTACTTCCTAGTCCCTACCTGCATATGCACAACCATGTGGGCTGGTCCAAGACACTTAAAAAAAATTAACTGCTATATGTCGCTTTTATAAAGGAGTAATTAGCTCCTATTTAATCTAAACAATGGTGTTTAGCACAAACCAATAAACTTTCATGCTATTAGTATTCATGTGTTCCAAACACTCGTTTCTACAAGATTCCTGTGTTTTCTAATCCTCTATTTTACGCCTCCGTTCCTTTTCCATTCTTGTGTTTTGCATTCTTCCGTTCCAAACATCTCGACTCTGAGGTGGGCCGTTTGTTGTCATAGGCCTGAAAAAGCAGGCCTTAGCCCGTTCCCAGTGCTCATCGCAAAACTTGGGGCCTGTGACTGTGACCGGGCTCCTTTGATTTGGGCCGTTGTTGCGGGATCGGGGATTCTCCTCGTCCGCCCATTTTCGAGAAATGTAGCCACACTCGTTTCGGTACCGGGCGAACAGAAGTCTTTTTCTTTACCTCTGCGAGACTGAGTCTGCGTCTGCGGTGAAACACCACTGTGTCCGTATGCATCGTTTATAGTGCTATGGCTGCATGATAGAGAACAGCACCATCTCTGTGCTTGAACCGGATTATTGTTGTTGGGCACGTATACATCACAGTCACAGATGCAAATGCAATGCAGCTTCCTCCAGCCAGCCACTTTTGACAGATTTGGCGACTTCTTTTGAGGTGCGCGGCTGCGCCTGGCCATTTCGGCACAGAGGCTTCCCACATTTGCTCGGGCCGGCCCAGAACAGCTAAACGTGGTGCGTC